GGGGGGGACGTCTCGGGGGGGGGGGGGAGAGTTGTGAACTATGAAAGCCGATGGGATGCGGTGATTGGTTGTTCCTGGTGCGGGGAAAAAAAACGGGCCTGGGAAAGAACAATCTTTTTCTTCCCTCTTTTCTTTTCCGAAGGGGAGACGGTTTTTCCGGGCTGGGGGTGTAAATGTCGATATTTTTCTGTCTGGATTAAACCTTTTTTGGAAATGAGTTTTGTTTGTATTTTGGTCTGAAAACGTTCCGGAATTCCTGTTCATCTCGTGCGTTTGATGGCGACGATCGCTGCGGCGCTCGTACGTAAAAGAGGCATTTAAAACCTGCAGCATTTCCGTCATTCAATCACTGGGTCTCTGTGCAATGCAGGCAGATCGGGGCCGGCAGGGTGAGGTACGTAGCTTCCTGAAAACATCACAGCACCCGGCCTCAGTGCTCCTCTCAAGAGCCCTCAGTCCTGATACAAGCAGTGGGCGGGCTCTTGGGAGGAGTTATGCAAATATCAAAATTCCTCAATGGGTGGGTGTCAGTCTGATGGAGTGGGCGTTCCTAGGCAGGCTGTATTTGCATAGGTAACGCCCACATGGGATGCTGAGCCTGTGATTTAAAAAACTGAAATCCAATTAAGGAAATGGGCGGGGCCAGGGACAGTCAAGCTGGGGAGGAAAAGGCTCAATGATGCTGGATGCCAGGAAATGGGGCCGGCCTCTATCTGACTTGCTGCAGCTTCTAATGCGCATTGTGAGGAGCTCCCAGTACGGAGTTCAGCTTCTACAACCCAACCTTTTTTGCCATAATTCTCTTTGGGCATTTTCTATGTCCTCCTGTGGCCCAAAAACTCAGCATATAGCGGGACATTATATATGCTGACAGCGCAGAGCCGCCTGGAAATATGCTGACCGTATTGTCGGTAGCCACCCCACCACCTGATTGACAGCTGGCTCCGCCCCCTCCCCTGTCTGTTGGGGGGGGGGGGCATTCCCGACCGCGCTACCAGTCACCGCTCTATGCAGGGTGATGATAGAGAGGAGCCAATTAACTGTCCAGCGTGTCAGGGAGAACATGCAAACCCCATGCAGATAGTGACCCGGCCGATATTTGAAGCGCTAACCACTGCGCTGCCCAAATCCTAGCATGTAAATCACTGCCACCTGCTAAAAGACCTCTGTGGTGTGCGTGGGCCCTTTAAGACTTTTATATTAAATAAATAAATTTAAAAAAAGACGTTTTTTAAAAAGTTCCCGTTTTATTGTACAAGGAAATGGCGGAATTTTACATCTGCAGTATAAAAGCATTTCAGATTTACAAACATGAAACCTTGCTGAGCGTGGACAGACGTGACCTGTAAAGTTTGTGCCAAGGTGGATTTAAAGGACAACCACCCCTCCGGCACAAGTTGGCCTATTGAGGCAAACAACCCACCCGGAGTGCCGTCCACCCGGTCCATTACCTACGTCTTTGTTTCAGCAACCTTCCCTATGTGGAGCTGCTTGGGGCTGCAGAGTCTCTCTTCCGAAAGCGTCACCACCAGGTCCTTCCTCTTCTTCCTGTACATTGGTGATGCGGCTCCATTCATTCCTATAGCAGTCACAGCGCCCTCCAGTGGTCCTGCGGAGCACAGCCTGTGAAGCCTGACACAGGACTGTATAGTAAAGATTCCTGGAATGGGGGCACAGGAAAAACTACAAATCCCGAGATGCATCTGCCTCTGGGAGTTATGTCTGTGGCTGTTAGAGCCTTGCAATGCCTCATGGGACTTGTAGTTCCAAAACAAGAAAGCCCTGGCCTCGTAGTTCTCCTTTAAAGGACACAAGGTACAGCTGTCTTTTAAATGCACCTTCCGGATAAAGCGTGAACATTTCGCATTTGAAGGGACTCCCGAGCAGCTTGCCAAGCAGCGCCGTCCTCCTTGCAATGCAGAATTAGCAAAATCCCTATGGCTCCTGGTATCTGAAGGTGGACGCGAGATTGAAGGGCCACACCACCTCGGCTTCATAGGCCAGATATACATCTATCCCAAAGCAAGAATAAGGCAAGAGAAGCGGCAACACCCTTTGGGGGCCAGAACTCACCCCCCCTTCGTCAGGGCTTAAGCTGCGGAATCATGAGGCAGGAAGCTGCAATCCCGCTCAGAGTCAATGTAACAATCCCTCCGATCCCACAAGATGAGAAGCCTCAGGTCATGGAATGGAGATTCGGACTTCAGCACGATGGGGAGAAAAGCGGTTCACATAATGTTTTCCTTGTCGCAGAGGAACAGCCGCCATCATTTATAAATAGTTGTGGAATCCCCCAGGCGAGCAAGTGCACGGAGCGCTGGGTCCCTTTGATGACCTGTGGCCCTATTATGCAATAAAAGCAAATCCTTATGTCTGGTTGTGGTGTCAGCTCCACCCCAGGCTGAAGCCCAATGTATGTGCATTGCTATGGGGAAGCTACAGCACAGCACGGCAGCCAATGTCCCCTCTCCCCGGCCCATCCCCGTTCTGCTGTATATGTCTTTTTTTTTTAACCCGTGTGTATCTATGTTCACCCCTGAAGAAGAGTGTCAGCCCTGCCCCCAGAATCCTGCTCCATGCTGCACTGCCGACCTCTGTACTGATCCACCTCACATGTTCCAGCAGCTCCCTCCACCCCCACCAGTGATGTGCGGTTGACCTTCAGAGTAACACTGCCCCCTGCTGCCGACAGGCCCACTCCCCCCCGGCTGTGGTAAATGAAGGCTCTTGTCTCCAGGGCGTGCCGGCTGCCAGGGACGAGCGCTGTCACTGACGCTGCATTCAAAATGAATCTGCTGCTGAGCAGCGTGGTCAAACATCAGTGGGGTGAGGGGGGGAACGCTCTGCCGACCAGGATAGCTCAGCACGGATCAGAAGGCCCACTCCCCCGGGCTGTGGTAAATGAAGGCTCTTCTTGCTGCCAGGGGCGAGCGCTGTCACCGACGCTGCATTCAAAATGAATCTGTTGCTGAGCAGCGTGGTCAAACATCAGTGGGGTGAGGGGAACGCTGTCAACCATGCTAGCTCAGCACGGATCAGAAGACTCACTGGCAGGCCCACTCCCCCCGGCTGTGGTAAATGAAGGCTCTTGTCTCCAGCACGTGCCGGCTGCCAGGGACGAGTGCTGTCACTGACGCTGCATCCAAAATGAATCCGCTGCTGAGCAGCGTGGTCAAACATCAGTGGGGTGAGGGGGGAACGCTCTGTGGTAAATGCTTGCTCAGCACGGATCGGAGCGGGACCAAGTGCTTCATTGCTCCATGCACTTGGTCCCCTGGAGGATTCCACGTTACTTGACACATGATGATGATGCTACTATGATGCACAGACAGAAGATGCACCAAGTTGGGGGTACAGATCCCCAAATGTCCCCAGCAGACCTCCTACTGGCACCTCAATAGGAAATACACTGATATGTCATCGCCATTACGAACACCCGCGTGCCGGCGATGACGACGGAATAACAAATTTGTGTCATAAGTATGGGCGACACCTCTTCCTGTAGAAGTATCAGATGCGAAGTGACTCCTCCCCCCCCTCCTCAGGACTGGCTCTTCTTGCGGTACAGATAGGCATAGCTCACTTGGTTCATGACGACCAGGCCGGTGAGAACCGGGGAGAGGGCGCACAGGTACCAGGCGACTCCGGTGACGTTGGCGGTGAACCACAAAGAGCACATGCCCAGCATGAGGCTGCCGCACGCCAGCAGATAGCCCAGGAGGCCGGACGTGGCGTGATAGAGCTTCCGCGTGGCCAGAGTCCAGCGCTGCAACAGTTTAGGGTACAGCAGGGTCACCCCGCCCAGATTCTGGACCAGAGTCCACAGCACGGTCAGCAGGCCCACCAACCCGTGCCAGGTGGAAAAGTGAGCTTTTTCCTGGAAAACCTTGTTGGCGTAGATTATGCCCAGGCCCAGCAGGGCGCAGAGCAGCGCCAGGAGCTGGAGCACCCAGTGAGCCCGAGTGCGGGACTTCCGGGAGAGGGAGCGGAGTAGGGAGTCGGGAGAGAAAACCATGACGGCTTCTGTCATGAAGAAGGAGAACTGCAGAGAGAAGAATCACATGAAGAGCACAGGTATGATGGAGGCGCAACATGTATAGCAATCCCCAACACAACCATCAGTCCCCCTCCCCCATGCTGGGGTGCCAAGTGTAATCCTGGACCCCGACCTCTCCCTTCACCCCCCACAACCAATCACAGCCCAGATCCTGTCCCCTTCCTAACCTTTCCAAACTACTCCCCTTCTTAACCAATGACACCAAACTACCGATTCACTCCCCTATTATCACTCATCCTGACTACTGCAACTCCCCCCTTATTGGACGACTTCTACACAGGCTCCTCCCCCTTGGACGACTTCTACACAGGCTCCTCCCCCCATCAATCTAACATGAATGCTGGTGCCAACCTCACCTACCTTTCCCACCGCTCAGTGTCCCCCACCCCTCTCTGCCAATCCCTCCGCTGGCTTACATCCCCCGCCCCCCTCTGCCAACCCCTCCACTGGCTTCCTTCCCCACCCCCCTCTGCCCACCCCTTCACTGGCTTCCATCCCTGACCCCCCTCTGCCAATCCCTCCGCTGGCTTACATCCCCCGCCCCCCTCTGCCAACCCCTCCACTGGCTTCCTTCCCCACCCCCCTCTGCCCACCCCTTCACTGGCTTCCATCCCTGACCCCCCTCTGCCAATCCCTCCGCTGGCTTACATCCCCCGCCCCCCTCTGCCAACCCCTCCACTGGCTTCCTTCCCCACCCCCCTCTGCCCACCCCTTCACTGGCTTCCATCCCTGACCCCCCTCTGCCAATCCCTCCGCTGGCTTACATCCCCCGCCCCCCTCTGCCAACCCCTCCACTGGCTTCCTTCCCCACCCCCCTCTGCCCACCCCTTCACTGGCTTCCATCCCTGACCCCCCTCTGCCAATCCCTCCGCTGGCTTACATCCCCCGCCCCCCTCTGCCAACCCCTCCACTGGCTTCCTTCCCCACCCCCCTCTGCCCACCCCTTCACTGGCTTCCATCCCTGACCCCCCTCTGCCAATCCCTCCGCTGGCTTACATCCCCCGCCCCCCTCTGCCAACCCCTCCACTGGCTTCCTTCCCCACCCCCCTCTGCCCACCCCTTCACTGGCTTCCATCCCTGACCCCCCTCTGCCAATCCCTCCGCTGGCTTACATCCCCCGCCCCCCTCTGCCAACCCCTCCACTGGCTTCCTTCCCCACCCCCCTCTGCCCACCCCTTCACTGGCTTCCATCCCTGACCCCCCTCTGCCAATCCCTCCGCTGGCTTACATCCCCCGCCCCCCTCTGCCAACCCCTCCACTGGCTTCCTTCCCCACCCCCCTCTGCCCACCCCTTCACTGGCTTCCATCCCTGACCCCCCTCTGCCAATCCCTCCGCTGGCTTACATCCCCCGCCCCCCTCTGCCAACCCCTCCACTGGCTTCCTTCCCCACCCCCCTCTGCCCACCCCTTCACTGGCTTCCATCCCTGACCCCCCTCTGCCAATCCCTCCGCTGGCTTACATCCCCCGCCCCCCTCTGCCAACCCCTCCACTGGCTTCCTTCCCCACCCCCCTCTGCCCACCCCTTCACTGGCTTCCATCCCTGACCCCCCTCTGCCAATCCCTCCGCTGGCTTACATCCCCCGCCCCCCTCTGCCAACCCCTCCACTGGCTTCCTTCCCCACCCCCCTCTGCCCACCCCTTCACTGGCTTCCATCCCTGACCCCCCTCTGCCAATCCCTCCGCTGGCTTACATCCCCCGCCCCCCTCTGCCAACCCCTCCACTGGCTTCCTTCCCCACCCCCCTCTGCCCACCCCTTCACTGGCTTCCATCCCTGACCCCCCTCTGCCAATCCCTCCGCTGGCTTACATCCCCCGCCCCCCTCTGCCAACCCCTCCACTGGCTTCCTTCCCCACCCCCCTCTGCCCACCCCTTCACTGGCTTCCATCCCTGACCCCCCTCTGCCAATCCCTCCGCTGGCTTACATCCCCCGCCCCCCTCTGCCAACCCCTCCACTGGCTTCCTTCCCCACCCCCCTCTGCCCACCCCTTCACTGGCTTCCATCCCTGACCCCCCTCTGCCAATCCCTCCGCTGGCTTACATCCCCCGCCCCCCTCTGCCAACCCCTCCACTGGCTTCCTTCCCCACCCCCCTCTGCCCACCCCTTCACTGGCTTCCATCCCTGACCCCCCTCTGCCAATCCCTCCGCTGGCTTACATCCCCCGCCCCCCTCTGCCAACCCCTCCACTGGCTTCCTTCCCCACCCCCCTCTGCCCACCCCTTCACTGGCTTCCATCCCTGACCCCCCTCTGCCAATCCCTCCGCTGGCTTACATCCCCCGCCCCCCTCTGCCAATCCCTCCACTGGCTCACGTGGTCACACGTGTTTCCAATAAGACCTACAAGTGGCCCTTGCATCGCACATGACGCAGGCACAGTCCCCTGTGGTCACAGCCAGGAGACATTTTTTTGCTTTTCCCGTATCCCAGAGACCCTCAAAGATGTCACTCACCGCGAGAGTCATGAGGAAAGGGTGCCAGGAGAAGAGACCTGAAAAAAAGACAAATCAGTTATAATAAATAGTAAAACAAAACAAAATAATTTGTCCTCTGCTCCGGCCCGACATGTGTGCATGGAAAAGCACCGAAATCCCCAAAATATTTGTGTCCCAAATGAGGAAGTAATCAGGTGAACAACATAAATCATGAAGATGGTGAAAGCGAAGGTGGCGACATGAGCAGCGGCCCCGGATATCGCTCGCAGCATGCGGTGGACCCGCGTGTCAACATCCGCACTTTGAGCCATGACCGGACCCTGCAAGAAGAAACACAATGGGAAATTGATGAATGGGGGGGGG